AGAATTCTTTCTCTACACCAGAGCAAACGATTACGCCTATGTTCGGCTGTGAGAGGTAGCACCCGATGTGGACGATAAGAGAGACCAAACTGTCGTATTCGGCGATATACCGTACGCATACCAACCATCCTTCCATGGTCTTCAAACGACTGATCCGCGATGGTTCAAGTACTAGTGAATCTGTCTCTCAGAGCTAGAGTCTTAACCGACGGTCTTGTCGCCCTGTGGTCCCACTGGGACGTCCAGAACCGCTCGCTCGCTGTCCTCGGCCTTCCTGAGTTCATGCTCGTTCACACTGCAGTGAACTTCGTAAGGATCTGTGGTCCTCCTAGAAACTTCTCATATCGATAGGCCGGCTTCACGCAACCAGACAATTCGACCCCTCTCAAAGTCACTTAGCTAGGGACACCTGGTGAATTCTACGCACTCTAGGCATTTTGAGCAATCACAAAAAGGCTTCTGAATAAGCGACACGTAATTTAACATTTAAATGTATGAAAACTGAGTGCTTCTTTATCACCAATCAATACACGCAGCCACCACAAAAACTTAACAGAGAAACCCGACCATTTTATCACTTGTTCATGGCACGATAAATCGATACGTAAAAATTCTTGAATTCTAATAAACATAGTAGGTGTTTACCGTTTTTTGTCTCTCTGTATATTTTCATGAGAGGGAACAACTAAAATAGATTTTTGTCAGATGAGTAGTGATATTATTAACACAATATAATCGGATAATGAAGCCACCGTCTAGTGCTGGATTTCATGAAAACCAGCAGCGATGCCGAAGTGAAGGTACCAAGTTTTTTGGAAATATGTATGAGGAATTATCATAGAGTACTTCGTCTAAGTGACCTTCTATAGGGTCGCTGAAAGCGTGACGTTAAAAGCCCAAAACCATATAAGGACGATAAATGCGAGGACTTGACAACGCGTTGTTAGGGTGATCGTCATCGACTCGCCGTTTGGATAACGAATACGATAGACCCGTGACTCGACATTATGATTGCCGCGTGAAGTTTCCATTTCACGATCGTTCTATCATGTCAAACTAGCGCAATCATAATAAAAACAATTTGTTAAAGTTAGACACAAATATTTAGGAGTATGTAAAATATCTGGATATATCCATAAAAATAGAGCGTCTGAAAAGTGACGTGATATCAAGCAGTTTGGAATGACTGAATGTTAACCTTTTCAGTGATCCCAACGCTCGGCTAACGCGGAAGCGATTGTAGTTTGTTGGCGGGAGTCAATCAAGTATCACGTGAGCATCAAAGGAAGTGTGTCCTTTGCTTTGCTTATTTTTGATGACTTACAGAGCGGGAGGGGGGCTGGATAGTGCTTGCGCAAGCAGCGATATAATCTCCTACGCATCCATTGTCATAAAGACAATTAATTTTAATTTACCAAGTTTTAAAATAGACTAATATAATATCTCTTATATATTAAGGGTATTTATTTTATACTTGAAATGTACACATTTTTCGAATTAATATTCAAATAAATGTACACTAAATTCACATGAATGACAATAAAGAATATACCAATGTTTACGAAAGAGATAGGGAAGAGGGATAAGGGCGAAAAAGAGGATGAATATTAAGGAAATCTTGCCTACGTAATACTTAAAGGACCCACAGTAGACCGACGTTTTTAAGCTTGTTCATAGTCTTCATTTGTCGGCCATGATAAAGGACACGAACAAGCCAAAAAAGAATTATTCTTACATTAGGAATGGTTTAACGACCCAAATAGAAACACTAATATGTATTGTGACATTCTTGACACCAGATTTATTCACATCAATCTTCAAAATGCCACCAAAAGTAGCTAAAATACCATTTATTATAGTTTGCACGGACAATAAGAGAAATAAGCTTGCGATAATTTTCTGCAATTTCTAAGTGTCCGCGACGCTGTTGCAGTCTCGTAATACATCACAAACAAAATAAAGAGCTTAACTTATGGCCGGTAATCAGCAACCTCAGTTTACACATACGCATACAATGGCTGCACCTGTTTCGCGATGTCTCGCGAACAGTTGTGCTATTAATGGCTTCTTGTTCCTAAAGAACTGCCGTGTATATTTACAGACGTATATAATGTTGCGGATGTGTATGTATGTGAGTTCGAATGTCATACTGGGTGGTTAGTGATCACACTTGCGATTTGCTGGAGCTTGGAGGGGAAGTTTTGCGGACTTTGAAGTAAAAAGTTAAGTAAAACATCCATAATTACAAACCTTGATTTAGTCAATACTATTGTGGCTATGTTTGAGCTTATGAACGCTCTGAAGATTTCGTAAAACTGCTATGCCGCTTGTATAGAACTCTGAGAACTTTTGTCCAAAAAAATAAAAGTCGGAGAGGTGATTTCGGAAAGCCCCATTTGTCTCTAAACTAATAATAGTGTCTTTCGAGCAGAAGGCTCATCATCTGCAGATGCCGTGGTTACAGCATTCCCAGTGCAATTATAGTCGATTACAGCTAGTAATTGCTTTTGTATCAACTTACATTTACTATCTGAGGCTTGCACAACCTGTGTGGGTTGCCTACTTTAGGATCTGCAACCCCAGCTTTTTCTTGACGTAAGGCAATATACATTTTAGGACACTACTCCAGAGGTGATTCCATAAAAAACCAATTTGTGGATAGCGAAAGGTTGAGAAATCTCGAAACTGACCAAAATATGTGAATTGACCTAAACATAGCTTTGTCCAAAAGTTGGTAGTTTGCGAGATACAGGGTGTCAAAGTTACAATTTTATTTTCTATTTTTCCTTATTGCTTGAGAAGTATTTCAGATTTTGGAATAAAACTCGGTATAGGAAAGTTTTCTAGTATGAGAAACAAGAATCCGTTATTTTTCATGTCCAAACTTCTAGAGGGCAGCACTTACAGTACTATTTCGGTAAATAACCTTTTTGTGCTACTTTGTATACAACAGCTGACCGAAAAATCATATTTTCTTGTATTTCCACAACAAAAAAGGTTTACTTGTTAATAGGTATCGAGATATTTGTTTTTAAAAGTTCCAATGCATTATTTGTACCATGATGATAAAACATTTTTATAACATAATAAAGTTGCTTTGGATAATATCTGAGTAGCGTTGCTGTGGTGTTTAACAATAACAAATCTAATAAACGGAAATAATAACTACAAAAATTGTTCAAAATGAGCATCAACTTGCCTAACACACTCTCGAGCTCGACGAACTAACTAATTCTTCACTCTCCAAAGCATTTGGATGCTATTTTTCATTTCCTGGCTATGGTGGAAAATTCTTTGACGAAGATCATCTACAGTTTCCACTGGCGAATTGTAAACGTTGTTTTAAATCACCTCAGAAGAAGAAATCCATAGGATTTAAATCTAGTGATCTAGCCGGCCTCGATACAGGTCCTGATCGGCCTATGCACTGGTCTAGATAAACTATTTAGGTGCTCTCTAACTAATATACTAAAATGAGGTGGAGCGCCGTCGTGCATAAACCACATATTCATGCGTGTTTGTAATGGAACATTTTCCAGCAGAGTGGGTAGTTGTTTAAACCATGTACTTTTTGCAGGTGGTATGGATGGAGCAGTTGCTCTTGGAAAATGGTATTTACTGTACATTTGGAAACTTGAAATTCTCGAGCTACATTCCTAACCCCAAACTGTAGGATTTTCAAAGACAGCATCTAAAACATTTCCTTCAACTTCAGCTGTACGTACAGCTTTGCGAGTTCCACTATGTCGGCCCAAATTTTGAGCAAAACTACCTAAAATCCAAATGGTTTTTACTACTCATAATAAAGCTATAATCATTTCTTATCAGTTTCTTGTAACCGCTGATCGATTCGTTCGAAAGTCTTTGAATTAGGTAGGTGTCTATTAGGGAATCTGTCAGCGTACAATCTTCATACTTTTAAACCATTACATCTTGCCAATCCGTACATTAAATGCATATTAGTATATTCATCAAACGTATACTCTATAATTGTCAACTTAAAATTATTCATGAAGTGTAAAGCAATATTATCGTACAAATAATGCATTGGAGCTTTTAAAAACAAATATCTCGAAAACTATTTTCTTCAGACATTTCTAACAAGTAAACCTTTTTTGTTGAGGAAATACAAGAACATAAGATTTTTCGGTCAGTTGTTGTATACAGTATAGCACAAAAAAGTTATCATAAGTTATTTACCGAAATAGTGCTGTAAGTGGGGGCCCACTAGAAGTTTGGCCCTAAAAAATCAGGTCAAATGACATATTCTGGTCTGCAATATCTCCAGTTCTGAGATTTCCCAACCTTTAGCAGACATCCTGTATAATCAAGACAAGTATATGTGAGTTTGCAACCAAGAAACTATGCCGGTGGAACTATGCTGCGCTATTGTTCTCTTGATGGCGTAAGTGAGCTATCGTGCAAGCCACAGATAAGAACATACATTTGTAAGAACAAATATTGTATTTTTCTGTGAAATGAGAGAGTTTTCTAGTTCCTTGTTTAATAACTTAGGGAATTTCAATATCCGAGAAAATGCCCGTTATGATATTTATTGGTTGTAGCCCAGATCCGAGCAAACAAATAAGTAGTCAGATAAATGGTAGTAGCGGGAGAGAATTATTGCCCTAAGAGAAACTTTATTCCCGATTCTCTCTGACGGGAATAGGTCGTAAAGATATTTTTAGAATCTTTCTGGGGCGTGGTATTTTACGAAACGTGCAGGATCATAGGTCAAGTACACATTTTTTCCTCTAGGACTGGAATTCTGAATATGAAGCGGGGCTGGGCAAATGTCAGGATAGACGAGAAGCGTTTGAACGTAGGATTGAACGTATGAGGTGTTTGTCAAGGTTATTTCGATGTTACAGTTATTTATGAGAATATACTACAAATCTCCATTTCAGGTATTTTACAAAACGGAAATTAACAGCGAGACAATAGTGGATCAGGCCTGATACATCATCTAGATTGATATGACCTCAATAGGCTATTTGACTAATTTTGCAAAATCATTTTAAATTATTCTTTTATATATAATGAGCACACTACATGAATATTTCCTGAAAATCTATAATATTTTTAATAGAAATCAAATTTGAATTTTTAGAACCGCGCCAAAAACGCTATTCCTGTAATGGCGCCGGCAGATGACGTCTGTGACGTCACACGCCAGTAAACAGGATCACGAGCTGTCAGCCGAAGTTAATTTCATTATTGTGCTTGATTTTGCTATAAAATCATAGATTAAATGGTCTATAAATGGTGTGTAGTGCCAAAATGTACGAATACGTGTATAAATAGTCCACAAGCATTGTTTGTTTCTGTTCCAACCGATTGTAAAAGACGAAAAAAGTGGTTACTATTAGCTCGGAGAGACCCAAAGGGCATTTCATCGACTTCAAATGTATTTATGTGTGAAGATCACTTCGATGTAAGTATAAATTGAATATGTTATCTACTAGGTAGCTTAAATTACCGTTCTTTTTAAGATTGAAATAATATATAACTATCTATAACCTCAAATGTATCTTTGGTTATGTTGAGGATAAGTCAGTGTTGAGGATCAAAGATCCTGTTTATTAACCCTAAACTTATTACTCTGTAGGGTTTTAAAATGTTTTCTGTTGTTTTGATTATATTAGCTACCTACATATCTCAATAATTTTCTATGCTGTGTCATTTTACCTACTTTGCTTATTAGATAGTTATGTTGAATTGCAGATGGAAAAAGACACCATTAACTACATGCAGTACAAAATGGGTTTCAGCAAGAAGATACTTTTGACAGAAGATGTTGTGCCAACAAAATTTCATTGTCAAGAAGATCGTAAAAGACCACTGTCTGATGCTGGACTTTCTCGAGGAGCATATGTCAAGAGGAAAAGAATGGATTTGGTCAACACATGTTTGCAAAAAGATGAGAGTTTGATACAAGACATTATTGAACCTCAAGGTATGTAATCTATTACATGTGTCCTATCATAAATTATTTTTTTGTTCAATGTTGTACTAACTGTCTTCCGGACAGATAGCTCCAAACTTCTACCTCTTTTTATTGCAATAATATCTGGTATTTTTGCGCCCATTATAGTAGCAACCAATGAACCATCAGGTGTATGACATACGCTCACTTCATGTGCCTTTGAAGCTGTGATACGGCCATACCTCATCTCATACCACAAGCTGCTCTTGTACTGCATTCTTGATGCTTCTACAATTGCACTGATAGCAGCTCTGTTGAATGTTGTCTTCATTATGTCTACAAGATTGTCTACGTCTGCTTGAATTTTTGGTGGTTGGTCCATTATGAAACAGTTCAGCGAATACCGCATAACATTTGAGTGTTTAAAATCGTCCTGATATTTTATCAATTCACAGTGTTGAAGTTTTCTTTTTTTGGCTTCCAAAATAAAGTCTGTGTAAAGTGCTGATGTACTTGGTCTGTGCGGTACTTCCTTTTTCGACATCTACTGCACCGTGATGTACTTCAGAGTAGTCCCTACTCTTGACAATGTTGGCTTTTTCCAATAACATTCCACCGAAGTAGATGGAGGTTCCTCACTGCGCCGATGTACCCACATCAAAAAAGCGACTGCATGCTTGCAGCCTCCTGCTGAAGCAGCACAGTCATGGCACTGACAACTTATTATCTCGCTTTCATTTTCGTTGATAACCATTGTCACATTATAAGCTTTTGGTCTCACTTTGTGCTCTGGGCACATTTTGCACTTAAGTCCATGCTCCCGGTGCAGCTGCACATAGCCAATTGCATCGTCTCCGTAGGACTCCCTTCCAGACCTGTAAAACAAAAGCAAAACATGAAAGTATGTTTTATTCATGAAACCGTATATGAACCATATTATCATATTGAACTGAAAGCTTTTTTCATTACATCAACATAACCTAAAATAAGATTGATTTTACAAATCTTTTAATGGTCATACATAAAGGTTAGTAGGTATAAATAAATAATTTCTATTACTACTTACATTGTTGTTTTCACATGTTTGAGTTCCGCAGCATAGTAGTCCGCATTATTTTTGAAGAAAAATGCTACCATTAATGCGTCAACCTTAGGTAGATTGCTGTTATCAGCTTGCACAAAACTTATGTCCATTTTGAAGTCCACAACGAATAATGATGCCAATAGTTGAAAGATTGATCAAGAAAGTAATAAAAATCTGTTTACGAAATAGAATTATGATAGAATATCTCACAGAAAGCCAGAAAAAACGTACAACGCGATGCTTGTTTACTTGCCTGTGACGTCACCAGAGTCGCAGCCAATCGCAGGGCGTTTCTGTGACCCATAGAATTTTTAAAAATAGCTGATTTTTATTTGATTATTTCCCAAAAAATATACATATTTAGGTGTACATTAAAGTACTATGTGTTTTCTTATTCTATTATCTAATTGGATCACCACAATTCGCAACTTATTTTCAATACTGTCAAATAGCCTATTACTGAGCATTTTATTTAAAATAACATACCTGAGGAAGAAAATTTAAAAAATGATATGTTTTTAACAGTCCACCATTATTGTCTATTGAGGTTAGCTACAAAATCCTATTTTTTCTCTTTATAGAGGTTTGTATCAGGTTAGTCAACCTACATCATTGATTTTTGTCGTTGCTGTACAAAATTCTACTTAATAAATTCTTTGGAGACAAAAGATTACATATTGCTTATTTTTAACAAACATCGATATTCAATTTACTGACTTATGCTGATAATCCTCTTTCTTTCTTACTACTACTACTACCTTTATGCTCAGTACGCCTTCAGAACTAATTCTCCTGGGTTATGGAAATGAGACCGCTGGCGCTCTCTACTTAATGGTGGAACGACTAAAATCTAACCCTTTTTTGCCACCGCCTACTAGAAGTCCACCAGCGGTGTCATTGCGATAGGCCAGAAAAATTATCTCTACACGTGTTGAACATAAGGGTAGATGGAAATAAACAGGGCTGTTCGCACGGTAGTCAAGTAAATTGAATATTTACTCGATGTTTGTTCAACAATAAGCATTTTGTAATTTTATCCTGTGATCAAAAAGTAAGGTGAAACTGTTTATAAAATATTAATTCTTTATTTATGCTTCCAAATTAATTTCATCCCCTTCAAAGTAATCCCCGTCCGATAAAACGCACTTTTGCCAACGCTTTTTCCAGTCCGCGAAACAGTCGGAATAGTTTTTTTCCGGTATAGCCTTCAAGACCGTCTTCGATTCGGATTTTATCTCCTCAATCGTGTTAAAACGGCGTCCCGCATTGGCCTTTTGGGTTAGCTGAATAGCCAGAAGTCGCACGGAGCCAAATCAGGCGAATACGGTGGCTGCGGAACGATATCAGTGGGGCTTTTGGCAAAAAAGTCCGAAGAACATGACATGGTGCATTATCGTGATGAAGGAACCAAGAGTTGTTCACGCAAACGTCGCATAACGCTCAAATAATATTCTTTCTTGACAGTTTGGTCCGGCGGAAGGAATTCATAGTGCACCACATCACGATAATCAAAGAAATCTGTCAAGATGACCTTGATTTTCGGTGGACTTTGCCGTAGCCTTTTCGGCCTTGCTTCACCTTTTGCACGATATTCGCTGGATTGGTTGGGGGTTTCAGGGTCGTATGCATAAATCCAAGTTTTGTCTCTAGTAACGATGCATTTCAAGTTGTCCTGATAGCCAGACAGCAAAGTTTCACACACATTAACGCGACGCTGTTTTCCAAAAAATTGAGTGATCTTGGCACCAATAGAGACTTGACGCGTTTGAGACGCAAAACATAATTCACAATGGTTTGGGCTGAGCCAAATGATATTCCAACACTATAAGGGAGGTCTCTAAATGATTGTCAATCGACGATTTTCAAGCACCTAATCTGATTTGTTGGACGTGGTCCTCGTACCACTTATAAACGTTTTTTCGTGCCATAGTTTGATCACCAAATACGCAAACAAAATTTGATGCAAGTTCTTTGGTCAACAAAATCACTCACTGTAGAAATCGAAAAATTCACTTTTGGTTCTTTACAAAAACACGTGTAACTCGGAGATAATTAAACCTCTTCACGAACAGACGCTTGTTAAATGTTATAGACTGTTCTACCAATCTAGGAAAAAAATTTACCTGCCTTCCTAATGCCCGGGAGTTTTAAATAACAATTTCACCTTACTTTTTGATAACAGATCTACAAATAATTTGTACAGCAAGGACTGACTGACCGGATACAATCCTATCAGGGGAACGAATTTGTGAATGTAGCTAACCTCAATGGGCACGTTGATGGTTGGTCAAAATATATCCTTTTTTCAAAATTATCTCTCTCAGATAGAAGTAGTGGCACCGTTTGTTTTCGATGAAATGGTTAGTAATTAATATGATATTCAGATATCCTATCAGGTTCAATCCATGTTTCGAGCGGGACCGCAAGTCCTTTTGTAATGGTCGAATTTGTGTCTAGGTCGCCAATTTCCTCTTCCGGTCAATAGTAGAGCTCTAGGTGCGATGCTGCCCCAAGTTGAGTATACTCTGGGCGCTACCTTCCAGAGGATTTCAATGACTGTGTCTTGAATCGCTTCTAATAAAAATTGTGTATATTCTTCTCTGCATAGTCAGGTGCTGTGAGTCCATAAGGCAGAGACTACTGCTACGACCTTTAGAGCATTAGGCGCACTGTTGCTCCAATTTATACAGTACACCCTGGGCACCACCTTACACAGGATTTCAATTAGAGTGTCCTGAATCGCTTCTAATGGAAACTTAAATTCGTTTTTCTCTGCATGGGGCTCATCAATTACCGTGAACGGACTTTATTAATTCTCGACTGCGACGTTAAATGATTGATTGAGTGGGCGCTCTACCCGGACTGCTTCGCTATCGGCCGCTCCGGTTTCTATCAAGGTTCGCCATAATATCTGGAGATTTCAAACTACGAGGACTTATTTGAATATCCCAGACCGTGGAACGGATCAGCACTGTAACACTGTACCAAAATTATATTTTCTTATGTAACGTGATGGTCTTAAGACAATGTGCAATGCTTTATAACTTTTTTCTAGCGCTAACTCTTATCAGGTAGGTGGCAAGTTCGTACCCTCATTTATGATCCATATTTTGAAGTTCTAAAATTTTCAGAAAGAAAAAAAAAGGGCACAAAGTATCGTCGAACTTGCCGTAAAAATGTAGTACCGGATGATTCACCAAGAACGTCAACCTTGATAGTCTGCAATGGTAGAAGTAGCGTTAGCACAGTGTCGTTTCCTTAGTCAACATTGCTTGAATAGGTAACGTAATGAATTTCATCCATTTTCCTTACTTTTTTTTTGTTGTGTGTTAGATTTTGGCTTGGTTTTCGTATAAATAGACTACTCTGTGTCGACCTGTCTTTATTGGAAAACCCTTTACCAGATAGAATGTGCTTTTCACATTATCGATCGCAAACTACTTCTTCCTATTCCTTACAAACGTCACAGCAGTTTCTGCAAATGGAAAAACCGACTGTTCCAAGCATCGGATCTAATAAGGCAAGACGTGCTGTACTAAGGCGATTTGCAGAAGGCCGGCTGCCGGCGTAGAGAACATTACCTTTTTTGGGGGAGGTTAAGTGCCTCAGATGGCTTTTAAGGAACAAGCAGACGACACTAGTAATGAATGTACCGAGATTGGACACTTTCGTTGGAACTGCAGCGCAATCCTAGCCTGACTGCTGGACGATTAGCACTATTATTTAATTATCTGTTTCTTTGGAACTGTGATTTCAACTGTTATTAGGTAATTTTGTTTTTGTTGACTAGGTTTCTTCTGGATTTTCAAAGGAAGAATACATAAGTAACAAAACTGCCGATAGTATTGTCGGTTCCTTTGATATTCGTATCCCCAACTGTTTCCCAGAGCTTTTTGTATTGAACATAACCATCCACATATCGTGACCCCTCAAAGCCCTGGATTAACTCTATTTTTTTAGGATACTGCGTCACAAGAGATCATTGTGGCAAAGGTTTACCAGGATTCACAAGATTACATGTCTCATCGATTCTTTTCTAACCATCTATCTAGGACTTTACACAATGCCAAACATGCTTATAACGAAAACTCGTTACCTCAAAGAATAAGAAACTGTTTCGGTATCTAAGAACAAGCCTCAATTCTAAAGGTCATTACTTCAGACCCGCTATGTTAACGGTCACTTTCACGAATGACGCCGCATCTGCAAACTTACTCGAGTCCGTCAGCGCAGACTTTGTTGACGAGCCTGATGGATACTCTCCACCGACCACTAACCTTGATAGGTGCCTTAACAGCCCGTGCCAATTTGAGAATACCTCTTTCTGCACTCGTAAAGATGAGATCATGGCTGCTGTACTTAAAAACTGCATTTCAGCACTGGCACTACCGCTAAGCACATGATACTTACATCCTCTTTCAGAACTCATTTGCTACTCTCTCGCTGGCTTCGTGCTTCTGGTACCCCTATATTCAAAGGGTAGCAAATCCTCAGCAAAAAATTATCATATACTAAGTCTCGTCTCTTTTGCCGCCAAAATAGCTGAATGAATCATATTAGACTAGGCCTTAACATTTGCTTTTGAAAATGATCTCATCCCTAACAACAAGCACGGATTTATCCTTGGACGATCGATAATCATCGATCACCAACCTTTCAACGATTGGACTACTCTAGGGCTTTCGCTTGCGCCCCGCACAAAAAACTTATTTTCAAACAATGCGTCTTGGAATTAGAGGCGAGTTGTTGCAGTGGATCGAGGCTTTTCTCACCGGGAGAACTTTTTCTGTGCACGTCAGTGATAGCCAGCTTCCCTCCACCGTGTAGCAAGCAGGGTTCCTCAAGGCTCGTCTTGGGTTCCACGCTTTTTTATTTTGTACTCAAGTGACCTGCCCGCCTTACTATACTTACTATCCTTACTATTCCCCCGCATTTTGACCTTCACCCGGAAAGCCAAATTTTTAACTTACCCATACATGATTCTGTATTGGAAAGGTGTGAAACTTTCAGAGATTTGGGCGTCTATTTCGATTGTCAGCTGACTTTTAACTACCACATCAGTGAAATTATAAGTAATGCGTATCGCAAATATGGCTTTATTATCAGAAATTGTAGAAATTTCAATAACACAACGCTTATTAAGTTATTTTCAGTGCTTGTTATAAGTAAATTAGAATACGGTGCAATTATTTGGAGTCCTATC